TCCTGTTTTTCACCCACTTCTCTGCCTGTACAGTTCCCTGCGTGGGAATATCCAACTAAGAAACGCTGCGTCCTGAGACAGGGTCATCCCACCGCAGCACAGCAGGCAAAAACGGCTGCAGATGTTACACGGGAAGGACACGCTAGCTCATGTACAAACACATTTAGGTGCTTCGTCTCTGACTACCTCAAGAAGATAAATAAATAACCAAACAGAATATAAGTTCTCCGCAACGATTTACTGAAATATATGGAAATGACCCATCAGTTGGGCCAGGCCTGGAGCATCACAGGGTTTGGCCACACTGGCAGTCTGGACCCATATGTTTTTTAAACCCATTTCTTAACCGCGCTGTGGCTCCCATCACAGCATGATCTTGGGAGTGTACAAACTGGATTCTTTCTGGACAAAATCCAGCTGGAATATGTGCTCCAAGAGCGCACCAAACGCAGTTTAAATGGCAGTTGGTCCACATAACCACTCCTGAGCAACGCTGAAGCAAGCCTATCCCCAAACACAGAGTGCTGATGACAAGGTACCAACTCTCCTGGTCACAGTCATTGCTGCTGTCCCACCCTTTTACGAAAAGGCATGACCATCCACTAATGGGCTTATCACCAACACGTACTGGCAGCCAGACACCTGCTCCATTTTCTGCATCTTTGCCTGTGGAACACTTGTTTGAACAGCATCACACCACAGCTTTCACAGCATCACAGGATGGTTTGGGTGGGAAGGGACCTTAAGGACTATCCAGTTCCAACCCCCCTGCCATGGGCAGGGACACCTTCCACTAGACCAGGTTGCTCAAAGCCTCATCCAGCCTGGCCTTGAACACTTCCAGGGATGGGGCATCCACAGCTTCTCTGGGCAGCCATTTCCTCATATGCTGGAGAAAAAGTTCACTTAGCAAAGGAATTAAGATAAGCAACTACAGGGTTTCCCAAACTTTCGTATTAAACTAATCTGAGATTAAACCAAGGACTAAACTGTAATTGCATCTGACACTGAGGAGGCAGGTGACAGGCAAGCCAGAGTAGGTCAGTATAAACCTTGTAATCCTGGCATTGAGGGAAAACTATTCGCAGTGCTGGGAACTTCAGGCGTGCTGAAGCTGGGGAGATTGATGGGCTCTCAGGTGGGCAACTCATTCATCAAATCTCAGATGAATACACTTGCTGCATTCCAAGGTCAAGCAGCATCTTACTTCTCAACCCATACCTAACACAGGAATTAAACAATGTCATTAGGGATTGAGCACAGGCCTTTTCTTGTACACTGTATCATTTATATCGAATGACAAATAACAGATATGAAACCCCAAGGTAACACCCTACAGAGCAGCTTTCCAACATGTAAGTAGCATTTATCAGAATGATTAAAAACATTTGAAATTCCTTTGTCAAGTCATCAGCTGAAACCATGGCTTGGGGAAAAAACAAACAAACAAAAAGAAAATTAAATAGCATTTTGAGTTTGGCAGGTATTTAACCTGGTGTAGTTCCTGTCTAAGGTCTGTGTGATGGTTTATTACTTCTCCTTCACAACTCCCTTCTCTGGTTTACACATGCAAATGAAATGCCTTTGGGGTTAACAAGGTTTCTCCCTCATGTCAAGTATAAAGCATTTATCCTCCAAGAAAAGTAAAAATGAAGTTTGCAAGGACCAACTTTCCTTCAGGATGCAATATGACAGCACAACGACATAAAAATGAAAAGTTTATTTGGTTAGAACAGATCCTCTAGATACAGCAGTTACACAAAAAAAGCCATTTGGCAGTCAATTTGCTTCTGTTTCAGTGATAAAGTGCAGCTCAGTTGTAAAGGCACAATGAAGACATTTCAGGCAAGTCACTGATGTCCAACAGAACTGGGAAGAGAAACACCTCCCTCCAACTACTTTCTTTTCAAACCACCTGTTTCATTTGCCTGCAGCAATATTAAAAACAATAAAGGCCTGGACCGGCAGCAATCATCACACAAAAATCTGACCTCAATCTCAGAAAAATGCCCTCAGAAGTAGCAAAACATGCTGAAGCTGTCAGTCAGCAACTCCCAGTTCTTTCTTTTTCGCTATTCCAAAAAAGTCTCCAGGGAGACAGCATGCCTGCCGCCATTCCATTTGCTTCAAATGGCCAGAAAAATCTCAGGAAGAATGAAGTAAAATAATAGGCCGGTAGTAAAGTGTTACAGAAGACATCTGCCTACTGCATTTTGTTGGAGAGAGCACAAGACACTGCCCATTGAAACTCATTTCGAACCCCTCTTCACCTCCTCCCCGCAGTCTAACTGTACATGTGCAACTGAACAGTTCCCCAACAGCTGTTCTTGTAGCCAGGCATGCTAATTGGCTTTCATGTCATAATACATGCGGAGAACTCTCCTCACAGTCTCCACGTACTTGTCATCGGGAACGGGTTTTCTCTGGCTTCCCGGCTCTAGGAATTTCTTGATTGTGGGGATGCTGCTTATCCTTGCTTTAAATGCCTAAAAGGTCAACAGTAAGTACATGGTATTTAAAGAATAGAAAGTAACACAAAACCCCCTAATTTTACTGACTGGTGTAACATCCTTTAGCAAGTTGTATGTGGAGGTAAGACAGGAAACGGTTGTAGCCATAGATGAATTTTACTCCCCCTCACTCCAACCTTGCTATTTTTAACAGTAATAAAACAGCCCTCTGCCTTGTATTGATACGGGATGAAGTGGAAAGAGTTATCTGTGGGTTCACATGTGTACTTTACTCAAGTCGCTTCCTGTGATCCAGAAAACATCATCTGCTTAAAGGTGTCACAGAACTGGTGAGGGGCGGGGGAAAAAGAAAGGTGGATTTCATCAGATCTGTACAGGGATTACTCCAGAAAATAATCAATTCTCTAGATGAAACACACAATGAGGTTCTTCGAGCAAGACTCCAAGGAAAAGAGGAGTGCTCCTGTCCTGTGGAATTATCTACACACAACAGACTCACATTTCCAGCCATGAGTGTATTGTTAGTGTAAGGTACCTGTAACTGAGGAAAGCCTGAGAGCACGTCTGACTTCTTCTCTTCTACCATTAAAATGGCTTCAAGCAGATGAACATCTGCCCAGCTAAAACTGTTGCCAACAAGAAAGTCCTGCCCGTGGTCTTTCAAAACCTAGAAGTGTCATAAACAAAAACGTTCGGATGTGGATAGTCAGCAGGGGTTGATGTTTTCAAAACACAGAGCCTCATCTTCTTTCACAATACTTAGTTCCTCCTTTTCACCTTTTTCTCCCAGGCAACTAGGGATAGTACTAGTGTGGGGGATGAGGGCCCAGGCCTGCAGTCACTAACCATTTTAGGGGATATCTATGAGCAGTCCTCCCATCAGCAATCTACAATCCCAGGGTTTCTCTTACCCATCCCTTCTATAGCCCTAGGTAACCCCACATATGGGACTACAGGGTTAGATACCTCCTTGGTATTCAGTCCTTTCCAGCCTAATAAATCCTTAATTTTTCTGAATGTAATTACAGATTCAGTGGAAAAATAGAAAAGGTAAGAAGAGAGGTGATCAGCCTAAAGCACTTGGGGCAGGATGCAGCAAATGGAATCTAGGACAGCACCAACTCTGACAGGCATCCATAGGAGAGCTTGTATGTAAGTGTGAAACTGTCTTTCCTTTAGTCTTTAAAACAGAAAAGCAGCTATTTCTGCAAGATCATCTTGTCTGTGTATATTAATGTCCATTGAGAGCACCTCCCAGGTGCTATCTCTCAAAGGATCAGTTAGAGAAAGACCAAGAATCCAGTAGGGCTTAAGCAGCAGACCACTCAGACCAGAAGACAGTAGTGATAGTTGTGTATTACTGTAGTTAAAAAACCATGTACATATATTTGAAATGTTAAACAAAGCTGGAAATCAGCAATTCTAAACCAGCATTGCCTTTACAATGCAAGTTACACAGCTCCATTCCTCCTAAAACCAGAAAGCTGCTATTTTAACTGTACATGGCTACATTTACACATTCACTGGATCATAGCAATTTTGAGCCAAAGAGGATACTTGGACCTTCGGTTTGCAGGTTGGTGCTGCTCAGACCATGAAATCTCATTTAGGAATTTCTGCATTTAACCCACTCCCAACTTGTCTCATACTGCTCTGGCCTCCCTCTCATCTCTCCAGCCTGCAGAGAGTACAATGCTCTGGTTTGAAGTACTGCACTGACATCTTTCTTCCTTTTGGTAAAATACCCAGTGTTCCCATTGTTATCCTTCCAGAACAATGGGAGGAAACGATCCTCCTACGTACCTTTTCATATGCTGGGAAATACCTGCTTGTTGCCTTTTGAACTATAACAGCACGTTGTTTTTCTTTATCCTCAGCCGATAAGAATGGGAACATCATAATGAAGCTCATAAGGTCATCAGTGCCTCCAACATACATATCAATCCTTCAAACCAAAGCAAACGAAAACCTCAAATAAGAAGGCACGTTCATAAGCAGAGTTTTCCTAGATTTGTGTTGCAACAGTAAAAGCTGAATTTCCCACCACCCTCATGAAAATTATTTTTGCCGTTAAAAAAATAAACGCCACAGACTGACTCTCACTCACATTTGTAGTGTTGTTGGCACTTCACCTGCCTCACTGTGCAGAGGTTAGACAAAGTTTAACTGTGGTATTACAGATCACTTCAGAATCACCAGAGAAACACACAGCACCACAGAAAGTCATCCCTTAAGTTGTCTGGATGGATCCCACCTTCAGGGTTTCATCCAAAGTTCAAGCAGTGCCAAACAGGTGAATACTGGTGTTAGAAACCTGAAGTGTACCAGGCTCCACATCTAGTGAAATTATTAGTACAGCAGTTCTTCAGATTGTCCCTTTGATCCATTTTTCCAGAGCTCTGACCGCAGGTTTTGTACTGTAGACAAGACTCAAATTTAAATTAAGTCCTCATGAATATGAGTAAAATACCTGGTAAAATAGTCTAACAAAGTCTTCCAACCATCCTGTGTCCTAAGAGATTAGAGTTCCTGCTGTGTACTAAGACTAACTGTAGTTTTTGTTGTCAGGCAACAGCTATTGAAAAAGCCTCTGTAAGGAATAAACATGTTATGTGCCATAGGAAGCTGCCTGTGCTTGTTTTGGTATTCCTGCAGGCCTTAAAGTAAGTCATCTTCTCACCTGCATCTATCCAGCCTTCCAGAACTCCACTGCCACACTGAACAAGTCCAGTTATCTATAGTACTTAAACCTGGAGCTAACCACAGCAAGCCTTCCTCGAAACGCTGATGCTTCCTTCCCCCTGCCCAAGAACAAATCAGCAAGTATACTTCATCTACATTTGCCTGAAACAGTGGGAATAGGTTCCCGGCTAAATCTGAACCTGGTAGAAGAGAATTCTGTTTGAAGGAGGAGGCAAACAAGGGTTAACACGACAAAGAAGCCGATAAGCTGTGTCTGAGGCTCCCATCTGAATATTTATTCTTTCTGTTACATCCCTGAACCTGCTTCGGCCAATTCTTCAAACCACTTCCACCATTTAATGGCAGTTTATAATAAAGTACTCATTAAAGTTAACTAGTTGTCCTTTAGTTTTCCTTCTTTCGAAAACCAGTAGGAAAAAGGACATTTAGAGGCTACATATATTGAGATAGCCCAAGCCACGGGTTCTTTTCCTTCACACAGACACAATATCAAGACCTGGATTTAATGTCACATGAAACCAGAAGTTTTTCAACACCTTTTAGCTGTTCTTTCCCCAACTCCAAAAGACTTAAACCCCACACTTTTCACAGTGCTGTGCAGCATCCTGCAATCACAGACACCATCAATGAAAGATCTTATTTTGCAGTCAGAAGTTAAAAACTAACCGTTGCTTTCCAACAAGTTTTCTGTTTACAAAAGTAGTCCAACATTTACATGCCAGTCACCTCTGGAATACCTGTGGCAAGCTGTATTAATCTTTTACTAAAGCACAGTAAACCTCTGCCTCAAGTATTTTAATGCAAAAATGATCGAACTAGAACAAATTAGCTGCCTTGTATCTAAATGTGGCCTGTCAGGCTCACTGCAAGTTGTGTGTCAGAGGCAAACAGGCAACTCTCTGGCTGTGCAAGTACGCAGTTAACTCTAGCGGTATCTAAGCTACTATAATAAATTCAAGCAAAGGTAGTACTGTTACAGTACAGGGCTCTCTCCTTCAGGTCCTTCCCGTAGAGGTTGTATTTCCCTGCTATGTAGCTGAGGATGGCTCTGGTCTGCACCATCTTCATCCCATCAATCTCCACCATGGGCACTTGCTGGAACAGCAGGGATCCACCTGAAAGAAAGGCCACACATTATTCTGCTGGATCTAGTAACTCCACGGCAGATTTCTTACTGTTTTCAGGTCATTACTTTCATGGTGAGCTTGCTTTAGTCATAGTGTTAAAATGAACTTCTTCTGTGCAAACAACAAATTACAGTGGCGCAGACCAATTAAACCGCAGAACACAATTATTGGGGATTAACATCCTTGCTTTAAAAAAAATGTCACTGAAGTTGCAGTCAGGACTGCGTACACCAGCTTTTAAGCTAAAACTGAAATACATGGAGACAATCAGACTAAACACATCAACTGAGTATAAAATTAAATAAACTTAAAAACATTCTGTTCCATCATTTATAACACAGTTGAACCAAATGTCAGATTCCCAAATTTTGCTCTTATAACCAGTATCTTCAGCTAAATCAGGGCATGCAATGAAGTTTAGGATCATCACAGGATGGTTTGGATTGGAAG